GGGCCCCCCCCCCCCCCCCCAATCCCACGCTGCCACTTGCCCCTGCAAACTGGACTGCCCGTGGCCCCCGCATGCCAAGACCGCAGGCCTCCCGTTCTGTGCCCCCCCACCGGCCCCTCTCTCTCAAGCCAGCCCTGCTGCTGACAGTGGCCATTCAGAGGCCTGCCACCCCCACCCCCCACCCCCAGCCGGTTTCTGCCTGCAAAGGGGAACAAGTTTCTCCTCTATACAGCCAGCGGTTGGTTCCAATGTGGTATTCGCTGCCAGCAGATGGAGTGAGGGCCCCACGGCTTGAAAAGGGGAGGGAGATACACGCGGGGAGGGGAGGTGGATCGGTGGCTGTGAGCCATCATGGGTGAAGGGAACCTCCATGTTCAGAGGCACTCAACCTCTGGATCCCAGAGCCAGGAAGCAACACCAGGGGAAGGCCTTGGCCTCTCTGCCCTGTGGCTGGCCCTCCAGAGGAACTGGCTGGCCCCTGTGCGAGACAGGATGCTGGACCAGATGGACCCTCTCCCTCGTCTGATCCAACCTTCTCTGGTCTCACCCTGCCTCCCCTCCCCATAGTCTCTTTCTGGCACTGCCCCGGAAGGGCTGCTGTTCATCTCCACCCTGGACGGCCACCTCCACGCCGTGAGTGAGAGGACTGGGGACATCCAGTGGACCCTGACAGATGGTGAGCGCCCGTCGGTCCCCTGCCAGTGAGGGTGGGGAGCCAGTTTGGTGTCGTGGTGAAGTGCAGGCGGACTCTGATCTGGGAGGACCGGGTTTGATTCCCCACTCCTCCACATGCAGCTGCCGGTGTGACCTTGGGTCAGTCACAAGTTCTCTCAGAGCTGTTCTCTCAAGGGGAGTCCTCGAAAGAGCTCTCTCAGCCCCACCCACCTCACAGGGCGTCTGTTGTGGGGAGGGGAAGGGAAAGGAGTTTGCAAGCCCCTCTGAGACTCCTCCGGGTAGTGAAGGGCGGGATATAAATCCAATCTCCTCCCGCTTCTCGTCCCCCCAGGTCCAGGAGAGCACCTCCTCTCGGAGAACCTGCTTGCTCTTGACCTCCAAGCAGCGGGGGGCGGGGGGGGAGCCTGGTATTCGGCAAGGCTTGTCTCCGTTTTGTCCCTAGGCACTGCAGGGGGTGGGGGGAGATATACAGAGGACCCTTCCTCACCTGACCAGGACCCCCCTCTCTCTGTCTCCTTCAGCACCGACTCTGCAGGTGCCCGTGGACGTGACCGAGTGAGTGTCTCCTCCGGGGGAGGCCGAGGTGTGGGGGGGGCAGTTCCTTGCTGGGGAAGAAGGGGTGCAGGATTCCTTGCGTGGTCCCGTCTGGATCCCTCCCGTGTCGGTCCCCGCAGGGCCTCATCAGGGGTGTTGCAGCCCTCTTCGGGCTACGCAGGACAGCCGTGAACCTCCGAGAGGCCCCCAGCGGGCAGGGATCGACGCTTCTGCCCTCTTCCGGAAGGGAATCTTCCTGGCACCTTGGGTCTTGGAGAGAGGGGAGGGGGGGGGCGGGGATGGACGGAAAGGAAAGGAGAAGATGCTGACGTTCCAGCTGGGGGAGAGACCCCCCCCAAGCCCGCTCCCCCTCTCTCGTGTTGAAAGGCAGAAGAGGTGCCGAAGGTGGTGCCTGGTTGGGGCCGAGGAAACAGGCAAAGACTCAGAAGGAAATGGGCGGGGGGGGGGGGGTTGTGAAGCCCTCCCCTCCCTGCCTGCCTGTCTGTCTGTCTGTGCTGGCAGGGGGGGCTCCCCTGCAGCCTCTCTGGTGGACAGTGTTCCCTCTAAGCTGAGTTAGCGTGAGCTAGCTCCCACTTTTCTAGCCTCCGGCTCCCACTTTTTTTGCCTTCGCTCAGGAAGGAGGGCTCCAGAGCAAACTAATGTATGCAGCAGCCAAATCGCTCGCTCACGACTTTAGTGCCAGTGTAGCTCACAAAGTATGGAGCTGCGGTGGCTCAAGTGGTGAAGACGCTGAACTGCAGGCTGTGGAAGGTCGGCAGTTCAGCAGTTCGAGACCCGGGTGCCACATGACAGAATGAGCTCCCGTCTCTAGTTCCAGCTCCTGCCAACCTAGCAGTTTGAAAGCAAGAAACTGCAAGTAGATAAATAGGTACCACTTCGGTGGGACGGGAACAGCGTTCCGTGCGCCTTGGTGTTTAGTCATGCCGGCCACATGGCCACGGAAATGTCTTCGGACAGCGCTGGCTCTTCGGCTTTGAAATGGAGATGAGCACCGCAACCCTAGAGTCGGACTCGACTGGCTTTTGAGCAAGGGAACCTTTACCTTTTAGCTCACAAAGTAGAATTTTTGCTCACGAGACTCCACAGCTGAGAAGGGAGCCTTGGCGGGGGAGCGTCTTCTTTCCTCTTCCCGCCGTCTTTGGTGGGGTGCATCCCAAGAAAAGTCCCCCTCTCCGCTTTCATGTCCCCTTCCCAGGCCAGCCTTCCTGCCAGACCCCAGCGACGGCAGCCTGTATGTCCTGGGGGGCAAGAACAAAGAAGGCCTGATGGTGAGTGATCGACTGGAGGGCCCCGTCCCGAGCCCTTGGCCGGAGGCTGCGCTCTGTGGGCCGGCTTCGTCGGTCGGGGAGGCGGCAGAGTTCCAAATACCCGCATGGGAGGAGGCACCTCTTTGCGGGGCCCAAAATTGGAGGCGGCCTGGGGGGAGGGTTTGGCAAGGAAGTGGGGGGGGGGAGTTGTTCCCTGCTCTTGGCCTGCAGCCTTGAAGCAGCCGGGCTTCTCTTCAGACTGGCTGATGGCCCACCGCGGAAGACCTTTTTGAGGCACCCTGGCTCCGCACTTGCCCTCTTCTGGGGCGCCTCAACACCCGCAAGGTTCCCCAAAGGCACGGAGGCGGTGAGCCACTGAGGAGCCTGGCTTTCTCTCGCTGCTGCAGAAACTGCCTTTCACCATTCCGGAGCTGGTGCAGTCCTCTCCCTGCCGGAGTTCCGACGGGATTCTCTACACAGGTATGAGCCAGGGAGGGGCCCGCCGGGAGGTGGGGCAGCCTGCAAAACCAGTTGCCGGAAGGCACGGAGAGTCTGCTGAGCCGGGGCTCTTGCGCCTTCGCTCCAGTTTTGGTGTCTTGGAAAGTCACACGAGGACATGAAGCTGCCCTGTACTGACTGAGTCAGATCTTTGATCCATCACGGTCAGTCTTTGTCTGCTCAAACCGGCAGCAGCTCTCCAGGGTCTCAGGCAGAGAGGTCTTTCCCATCACCTCCTGCCTGGTCCTTTTTAACTGGAGATGCTGCTGGGGACTGAACCTGGGACCTGCCTGCATGCCAACCAGAGGCTCTGCCACTGAGCCACAGCCCCTCTTGACAGCTCTCCAGGGTCTCAGGTGGAGGTCTTTCCCATCACCTCCTGCCTGGTCCCTTTTAACTGGAGATGCTGCCGGGGACTGAACCTGGGACCTTCTGCATGCCAACCAGAGGCTCTTCCACTGAGCCACAGCCCCTCTTGACAGCTCTCCAGGGTCTCAGGCAGAGAGGTCTTTCCCATCACCTCCTGCCTGGTCCTTTTAACTGGAGATGCTGCCGGGGACTGAACCTGGGACCTCCTGCATGCCAACCAGAGACTCTGCCACTGAGCCATGGCCCCTCTTTACAGCTCTCCAGGGTCTCAGATGGAGAAAGGCCTTTTTAACTGGACATGCTGCCGGGGACTGAACCTGGGACCTCCTGCCTGCCAAGCAGAGGCTCTGCCACTGAGCCACAGCCCCTCTTCACAGCTCTCCAGGGTCTCAGGCAGAGGTTTTTCCCATCACCTCCTGCCTGGTCCTTTTCAACTGGAGATGCTGCCGGGGACTGAACCTGGGACCTGCCTGCCTGCCAAGCAGAGGCTCTGCTACTGAGCCACGGCCCCTCTTTACAGCTCTCCAGGGTCTCAGATGGAGAAAGGTCTTTCCCATCACCTCCTGCCTGGTCCTTTTAACTGGAGATGCTGGGGATTGAACCGGGGACCTTCTGCATGCCAAGCAAGAGGCTCTCTCATTGAGCCACGGCCCCTCTGGTCATAGGAAGAGGGCCTCTGTGCCCGTGCCAAGTGCTTTCTGAATGAAAACAAGAAAAAAATGCACGTGCCCAAATTTTGACACCAATAATCAATGCATTTAATAATAGTAAGACATATAAAGTACTCAGAACAAATTTTCCATAAACAGGTAGAAATTCACTGGTAAAGTTGATCACAGGTAGAAATTCACAGGGGGAATTTCCCCACAAACAATTCGTAATAAATTCAAAAAAGTCCTTGAACTGTAAGGATGTAGCAGTGATTTTCTACCTGTTGCTTATGGAGAATTTGTTCTGAGTACTTTATATGGCTTACTATTATTAAATCAATTGATTATTGGTGTTAACATTTGGGCACGTGTGTTTTTTTCCTTGTTTTCATATGCTGCAGTGCCACTGCCTTTCATCTGTATCTGAGGGCTTCCAGAATGGCAGAAGGCCCCCGTGTAGCAGGATTTTGCATGCGTTATTTCTTTTTTTCTCAATAAAAGACTGTGACCCTCTGAAGGTTTCCCACCTGGTTTGCTAGCAAGAGCTCAAAGAACGGAGCTCGCCACTAACTCATTTATCCCTTCAAAATTAAGGGTTGCAAACAGCGGTTATCAGATCGATCCTGGAACTGTCCAGAGCGAAATAGTTTGAAAGATTGATTCTGAGAGAACCAATTAGTCTGGATTCTCTAACTGGATGTGAGACGGTGTTCCCTGGTTACACCCGCCCCTTCCCTGCAGGAGGGTGTGCGTGGGAGTACCCTGGCCACACTGTTCAGGGTCCTTCCACTTTCCCAGGCAAGAAGGAGGATACCTGGTTTGTGGTGGACCCAGCGTCAGGACAGAAGCGGACCACGCTGTCAACCGAGGCCTGGGACGGGCCGCACCCCTCAGCACCCTTGCTCTATATCGGACGCACCGGTAAGACACTGTGCTCCCCCCACCTTGGATTTGCCCAACCCAAAATATGGCAGTGGAAAAGGCCTTGCGGCACTACACTGGGCAGGCGGGGGGGCTTCATCTCCTTGTCTGTCCTGGGATTTGCCGCTGGGATGTCTGCTTGGCTTTAGGTGACCAAATTCTGCACGCCTAAGGCTAAATTCTGTGATAATATTAATAATAATAATATACTTTATTGTCATTGTACATAGTACAATGAAATTAAAGGTGCAATCATTTCAGTGATCTACAGCCATACACATATACACTCACACAACCATTCACAACCATCCCATAACTCCCTTAAGGTTCACATTGCAACCTAAACCACCAATGTCACCCAAATTCCAACTTCATGCAGCATTTAAAGCAATAATAGCTCTCGAATAAAAACTGTTTTTTTCTGAACCCCATCGGGAACTCAGGCATGTGACCGTGGGTGGGTGGGTGGGATTGGAGGGAGGGTGTTCATACCTGCTCCCGCACGCTTATTTTGCAATTGGTGCTAACCCCAAGGAGCCCTTCCAGCGTCTGCATTTCGCCCCCGATGGCGGAGGTTCACACCCGGGGTCTCTGGCGGCTCTTTTGTGTGGGTGTCCTTTCCTTGGCCAATGTGACGCCACCCACCCACCCACCTGTCCGTCTACAGAGTACGTCATCACCATGTACGACACTAAGACCCGTGACCTGCGCTGGAACGGCACCTACCTGGACTACTCCGCTGTGCTCTACGATCGGAAAGATGGATACGGTGAGTCCCTGGGGAGTTTGGGCCGCAAAGGAATTCCCCCTCCAAGCGGGGAGATGTCCTCGCCCTCCTTCCTTGGCGGTTGGAAGCAAAGACCCTGAGTTGGTCAGCAGTCTGTCCTGGACCTCGTGCCGGAGCAGGGTCGGTAGCCGCAAAAGGGCGACTCAGGTACAGAGACACGCCCCACCCCCATGCTGAAGAGGCGGTTTTGGCCTTGTCCTCCTTAAAATTAAAGCCAAGAAGACCACAGTAAACCTTTTAGTATTTGCAAAAAACATCTCTCTCTTGCCAAGCGTATTCAGTGTCAATGGCTACCCTTCTAGGTCAGGGGTGTCAAACATGCGGCATGGGGGCCAAATCAGGCCCCTGGACGGGCTTCCATCAGGCCCGTCTCCTGCTTCCAGTTCTGCTGCTGCTACTGCATCCTAGCTTGCCTTGCCAGACTCTCTCAATCACTCGGCCATTTCATGTTTTAACCTGGGTCCAGTGTTCCCTCTAAGCTGAGTGAGTGTGAGCTAGCTCGCAGTTTTTCAGCCGCCGGCTCACACATTTTTGTCTTGGCTCAGGAAGGATGGGGCTCCAGAGCAAACTAATTTAGGCAGTAGCCAAATCGCTGCCTCACAGCTTTAATGCCCGTAGCTCCCAAAGTTGAATTTTTGCTCACAGGACTCCACAGCTTGGAGGGAGCGTTGCCTGCGTCCCAGGCTCAGACCTCTTGAGCATGAGAATTCTGTGGTGGATGTCAATAAAGCAAAAGTAGGTTTGCAGCTGACAGATACACACAGCTGAACAGTATACTCAAGAATGCAACAGCACAGACAATTTGATGCAGTAAATCAGAGCGAGAGGGGTCAGTTATCGGATACTGTTAAATAAACAAAATATTGCAAGAGTGCTAATGTTTTAAGCCTGGTTTTATTTTAAGTTAAAAAAAACCCTTTGTGTTTGTGTCCTTTATAAAGTTTATCTCCCCGCTACCTGGTACTACATTTTATGACACACACGGCCCAGGGGCCCAACAAGGTCTCATTCATGTCCGATCCGGCCCTCATAACAAATGAGTTCGACACCCCTAGCCTAGATAGCCTACGAGTTCAGCAAGGTTTTAGACCTCTGTTCCCTGCATGGGAAAGCCTTGCAAGACCTTAGCTCGTGGCCTCTGGAGCAGTTCAGGTTTAGGGCAGTGTTCCTGGCCGCTGGGCAGCCGCCAGCCACAGGCGTTGCCCCATCCAGCTCCTCCCGGCCTGTCTTCCCAGGGATGGCTCACTTGGCTTCCAGTGGAGAGGGGCTGCTGGTGACCGTGGCCCAGGCCAGTGGGGAGCTGCTGTGGATGCAGGACTACGGGTCGCCCGTGGTGGGGGTCTACACCTGGCACCAGGACAGCCTGCGGCGCGTGCCCCACCTCAACATCGGCACGGAGAGCCTGCGCTACCTGGCCTTGCGCTCCCGGGACATCCGGCTCCTCAACTGGAACTATCGGTCCACCAAGGAATTTGCCGCCAAGTCGCAGCTGCTGTGGGTATCGGAGTCTGGGTTCGAGGGGAGGCGCATTTTGAGGCACCTCTGTCTCTAGGCATCACTTGGAGGGGAAACGAATGAGGGGGGCGATATTGGGGAACGAGAGGCTGAGAGGGGTCTCTGGGTTAGGGGGACACCCCCTGGATGCCTGTTCTTCTTTGAAGCTTGCTGGGAATCCTGTGGCAGTGATCCAGAGGTTTCTATCAGGGGTCATTTTGTAGAAAAAGAGGTGCAGGAGCTAATTAACATAACTTATTTGTGCATGCCACACCCTCTAACATCAAAATGCCTCCCCGCTTCTTGCAGAGCCTTCCTCGGCTCACCCGCCCCGGCAAGCCCTCATCCCCTACTCCCCACCTACTTACCCCGCCTTCTGACTGGTGGCGGCGCTGGCAGCAAGCAGAGGCAGCACGTGCTGCTTCCCGCTCCTCCTGGCCCAATTGAGGGCTGCTGGGAGCTGAGGGCAGGGCTTGCTGCCGCATGTGCTCCTCCTGGGCTTGTTACTGCCGGAACGCCGTCCCAGCTCGTTCCGGCTGGAAATGACCCTTACTTCTACTGCACATCTGGCAAAAGGCCCCGGGGCTTTCCACCACGAAGCTCTTCGGATGTGCTGACAAGTTTCTCAGTGGTGCTGCAGTGTTCTCTGACCTCCCTTTGCCCTTTCCCAGGCCAACGCTCTACGTGGGCAGAGACGCCACGTGCCTCTATGCCTTGACGTCCCTGGTGCACACAGGAGTGGCGCTAGTGGTGAGAACCTCCCTTCTGTCTGCCTTTGGGTGGCCCTGGGGGGGGAGTTGCAGCTGGGTCGGGCTGGCCCCCCCCCCACTGATCTGTCTCTGACTCCTGCAGCCTCAGGGAGTGACACTGGCCCGGATCAGCGGCCCCACCACCGAGGAGGTCACGCTCCAAAAGTCCGGCGAGTGCGAAATCACGCCCAGCACAGACGTCAGGTACCCGACGGGCAGCGTCACCATCCCCCCCAGCCAGTGGCTGCTCATCGGTGAGTCTCAGCAGGGCCCCCATCCCTCCCTCCCCTTGCGCAGCACGAGGTGTGTGCCCTGTTCGGACACACACCGAGGAGGGCGGCGTATCCCCATTGCCCGTCCCCCCGTCTCTGTGTGCGTGCATCTTGCTCTCTGCAGCCGTTAGCTGAGCTGCTGCCCAACCGATGGTAAACCCCCCCCCCCAAAAAAAAAAAGGAATGAGAAGAGGGTGAAGAAACCAGGTGGGAGACGAGGCCCAGGTGGGAGACGATTGCTCTCTTCGAGTGCCTGAAGGGCTTCCCTGGAAAAGAGGGCGGGGACTTGTTCTCTGTGGTGCCAGAGGACGGAACAGGCAGCAGTTACAGGCGGGGAGATTGTGGCTGGACTTGGGGAGAACCTTCCTGGTGGGTCGACTCTGGGACCAGTTAACCAATTTGGTGCAGGGCAGTGTTCCCTCTAAGCTGAGTTAGTGTGAGCTAGCTCACAGTTTTTTAGCCTCCGGCTCACACATTTTTGTCTTGGCTCAGGAAGGAGGGCTCCGGAGCAAGCTAATTTATGCAGGAGCCCAATCGCTCGCTCACAACTTTCATGCTAGTAGCTCAGAAAGTAGAATTTTTGCTCACAAGGCTCCACAGCTTAGAGGGAACATTGGCAGGGTACATGCCATGCAATGGAGGCAGATGGGTGATTGGTTTGGTGTGGTGGTCGGGAGCGCGGACTCTAATCTGGGAGAACCGGGTTTGATTCCGCACTCCTCCTCCACATGCAGCTGCTGGTGTGACCTTGGGTCAGTCACAAGTTATCTCAGAGCTGTTCTCAGGGACAGTCCTCGAAAGAGCTCTCTCAGCCCCACCTACCTCACAGGGTGTTCGTTGTGGGGAGGGGAGGGGGAAGGAGATTGTAAGCCGCTGTGAGACTCCTTCAGGTATTGAAGGGCGGGGTAGAAATCTTTTTTAATTAGATTTCCATATAAACAGTATAGGGTAGGAAGGGTAAAGGGTATGGGGTAAGACATACAGGGGGGAAAAGATCCTTCAAGTTTGTATTATAGCTGTTACAAGTTTCTACTTCTATTTACAGTTTCCTTTCTTTTATATAGTTACTAAAATTGTCATCATTATTCCATTTGCCAGGAATTTCTCTTATCGCTCCTGAAAAAAGAAAATTAAGCTTTCCACAGTTTAAACGAGAGTTCCTCTATGATTTTTATTACTTATATTCATTATTCTTTATCTTCAAAGCTTTCTAGCCAGTCATAAAACAGTGTCCAGTGACCATTCCCAAGGGCGGCATATAAATCCAATCTCTTCTTCTTTCTGTTTGGTGTCGTGGTTAAGTGCGCGGACTCTCGTCTGGGAGAACTGGGTTTGATTCCCCACTCCTCCTCCACTTGCACCTGCTGGATGGCTTTGGGCAAGCCGTAGTTCTGACAAGAGCTGTTCTCTCAAGGGCAGTTTCCGTCAGAGCTCTCTCAGCCCCACCTACCTCACAGGGTGTCTGTTGTGGGGAGGGGAAGGGAGAGGAGTTTGTAAGCCGCTCTGAGACTCCTTTGGGTAGTGAAGGGCCATGGGGTATAGATCCAATCTCTTCTTCTTCTGATCTGGGAGAACCGGGTTTGATTCCCCACTCCTCCTCCACTTGCACCTGCTGGATGACCTTGGGTAAGCCATAGTTCTGCCAGAGCTGTTCTTGAAAAAGAGCAGTTTCTGTCAAGAGCTCTCTCAGCCCCACCGACCTCACCGGGTGTCTGTCTGTTGTGGGGAGGGGGAGGGAAAGGAGACTGTGAGCCACTCTGAGACTCCCTTGGGTAGTGAAGGGCCATGGGGTATAAATCCAATCTCCTCCTCCTCTTCTTCTTCCTCCCCACAGGCCACCACGAGCTGCCCCCAGTGGTCCACACGACCATGCTGAGGGCTTTTCCTGAGACCCTGCGGAAGCCCCCTGAGGCCGCGCTGAGCCCCACATCCCCCTCCAAGACACTCTTCGATGAAGTAAATGGCAGGACAGACCTGAGATAACACGGCGGGGGGC